AAGACAAACAAATTAAGCAATAGACACAAAAAATCGCATAAAACACCAATAGAGAAGTCATTGGAAAATCCAGTTATATTTGACAACGTGTGAAAATGTATTGAATTTACGACTTTATTTTCAACGACATTTTCGGGCAGTTTATTCTCAACATTTGACCTCTTCGCTCGCCGTTTCATTATTGCCACTGCCGATACTTTGAACAGATAATGAAGATGTGATTGGTTTCACTGCTGGTGTTTTTGTTTACTCTTACTCATTTCACTGCTCTATCAGTGACCAGTCGATGAGTTTTTTTTTAATTCTAAATATATAGAACGTTTTTTGTTGGGTAAAAAAATGTCCGCAAATATGGAAAGAATATATCGAAAATACATTTTTTCAGCAAATAAATCAAAATAAAAATGTTTATAGTGCCGAAATATTCGAATAGTTAAGTCGAATGAACTTAGCTTTTGTTTTGTTTTGACGTCTATCTTGATTACGCAGATGACCGTACACATATTAGAAGAGATAAACTAGTTCACGATAGAAGATAAGAATGTCTTTTGCCTAGGGGGGAGACACCAAAGAATAAATTCCGAATCCACTATATAAATTATTAATCCAGCTATTCCACTAATCCAAAAACACAGATGTGAAATCGAAACTATTTTTCCTATTCCATGCACTGTTTCCATCAAAAATGCTAATTCTGCTATTCCGCACTATTCCATTAATCCATCAATAAACGTCAAAAGAAATGTCAAATGGATTTTTGCTATTCCATGCACTGTTTCGCTATTCCACGCAAATCCATTCACAGGCGTTGCTATTTCATTGCAATTTCTCGAATCTTTACACTAAAACTCTGATCCTATTCCACGTGTCTGCCCCCTAGTCTTTTGCTTAAAAGCAAGTTCACGGTCAAAGCAGAAAAAGAAAATAATAATGAAATGTAAATGCGGGTGAAACTTTAGCTAAAACTCAATAATAAATTAAATAAATTTGATTTTATTTGAAAATACAACATTTTCTATCGAAACCAAAATTCTACAAGTATTTTCAAAGCTAACGAGTTTTGGCTCTTTTTATTCATTCCCGAATTTGTTCAATCAATCAGGAATTAAACTCAGTCTATTTTCAAATACTCAATTTATTTGATGTCACAAACATGATTAACACGTGCAAAGTAAGCTCATTCAAATCTTAAATTCTATAATTGCGGATATTTTGTAATATTAAAAAAAACTTCTTGAAATCGAGAGTAAAAACGACTGTTGGGAAGCGAAAACTATATGTTACATGGTATTACATCAACATTTAAATTGGCAACTGACTATATCGAGACATATCAACCGAAGTGAGCATGCCCATTTTCGTCGCTCAAAGCACTGGATAGATAAATTTCAATTTGAATAAGAAAATGTATAATGGTAGGCTCTACCTGGTCGATTAAAAAATACAATTTGAGTTCGCTCTTTTCCATCGTTCTTTATGTGAATAGTGTGAACAATTTAATATTCTGAATATGTGTCTGTATAATTAATTATGTCTGAAATGGATGTGAATTTGAATAAATTGAAAAGTAGATTTAAGAAACTGTATTGATCATCCATCGATTTACGCTTGAACGCAAAAACTAGTGACATACAAATCGTCACAAAATCGCATGAATTATGTTATTTTATTTATAAATGAAAAAACAACCAGTTTTGGACATTCACATGGATTTGCCCATTTGGGAATTTAAATAACTTTCAAATTACAACAACATAACATCGAGTGACATCGCACAAAACCGAATTTCAACTGATATCGTTCGTTATGCGTAAAAAAAACAAACAAACAAACAATATTGGGTTTTTTTTCTGAACGGTTAACACGCGTAAAAATATTTGCATGTCAATGCTCTAGTCCAGTTTTAAGATGGTTGGCGCGTGATTGGCGATCTCGATCACCGGAAAAGGGTATATAAGATCGGTCTTTTGGACGGAAAACATACAGTATCGAGGTGATCCTATAGTCGAAAGCATCGTTCTTTGTTTTTCAAGCAAATAAAATACTTCAAAATGTTCAAGGTTCGTTTAACAAATTTTTGACAAAGTGTTAAAATTCAAACAAAAGTGAACAAATAACATTTTTTTTTTTTGTTTTAATTCACTGAATATTCGGTTAATAAATTTCTTTTTAACTATTTCTTTTTTCTTTACAGAATGTAATTTTGTGTGTTGCATTGGCAATTATTGGCCAACAATTTGTTAGTGCTGCTCCACAACTTGGATTCGGTGGAATCGGTGGATTCGGTGGTCAACAATCTGCATCAAATTCCAACACTCAGTAAGTTTGTTTGGAATATTCAATAAAAAGTTGAGAGTTTTTAAAATATTCTCATTTATGAATTGACGTTTTTAGAGCAAGTTCAAGCACACTTAGCCAAGGTGGAGTTGGAGGATTAGGCGGAGTACAACAATCACAAGCACAATCTTCAGCAAGTTCAAGCACAAATTCATTTAATCAAGGTGGTGTTGTTGGTGGTGGATACCCAGTTGGTGGTGTTGGTCATATTCCAGCTGTTGCTCCAATTGGTGTTCATGGTGTTGGCCATCTTCCAGTTGGTGGTCAAGGCATTGGTCATCATGTTCCAGTTGGTGGT